CTTCAAAACGAAAGTAACGTTAATCCTCTGCGTCTTCAGCGGCTCAGATGTCGGGAGTAAATGACGACTGCTATGTTCATTATTACATCCAACAACAAAACACCTCAATCGCTTAATCGGAGACTTTCTTGTCTTCCCCTGCACTGGAGTCGACACATTGGCGGACTGATGACAGCTCACTAAGGTAAGACACAGTGTCAATCAACTATCGTGGGAGGGGCCTGTGCAGAACTACATCATTCTGACAGGAATCTCAGAACAGCCTGATTTGAGAAAGGGGATTTTAAAATTTAAAAAGAAAAAACACTGGGTGGATTTTTATCTTTATATGATGGATGTGTGCACACACTTCCAACACACATTTATGTTCAAACAACTTGTAAAGTGAATTTTGCATCCGATGACCCCTTTAACTAGCTACTAGTAACCTAATTAGTAGTCAATCTATATGAGCTTTTTTCTAATGGCTAACAATGATACTGACATTGTCATAGACAGAATAGAGGTCACTGGCTGATATAATGCCCATATAGCTGATATATATTACAATTATTTGAACAAAGATATAGTAAAACTATTAATATTGTTAAATATGATAACAATTTAAAATAACTGTTTTCATTATATTTCAACAATTTTAATATATTTTAAAATGGAATTTATTCCTGTGATGGCAAGGCTGATTTTTCAGCAGCCATTATTCCAGTCTTCAGTGTCACATGATCTTTATTTGATGATCATGTGACACTGTTCAAATTTCTCGATTAATAGGAAGTTCAAAAGAACAGCATTTATATTACATAGATTTTTTTGTAACAATGTAAAAGTCTTCACTGTCACTTTTGATAAATTAAAGGCATTCTTGCTGAATAAATGTAATACATTTTTTTCGAATAATATAATATTAATATTACGCAAAAAAACAGCTATTTACTGATGCAGATAATCTCAGAATTGTCAAATATCATCTGATTAATGTGTCTGACTAATATATCAGTCTGTCACAGCCTTTACCATCAGTATGTACATAGTTTATATATAAACCTAATATTGAAGTTGAGAGTAGATAAATAAATTGGCTTCATTAAGTTGAAAACAAGTACTTAACGTGTACCACAACAATTTGATAGCACCAGACAGTGTGCGTTAGCCATTAGACATCAGCCATTACTGTGTTCCAGTTAAGACCTGCCTGAGGAGTGTGTCAGGGGAAGGTGATCAGGGGTTTAGCGTTACTCTCAGCTGAGTCACCCTTCCAGTTGACCCCCATTTCTCTTTTGTTTTTGCCAGCGTGTGGGCCATTTTTGATAACGGTAACTTAAGTCCAGTGTGAGCTCAGTTAACAACATGGACTGACCACAGACTTCAGCCTATCAACTCACACACACAGAGTGACATCACTTTAAAGGAGGTCACAGTAATCAGATTATCCTAGTTATTCAGATGCACTGACAACCAGCAAACCAAGTATGTTCAAATTATCCCCCCAGGCAACATGAGGGAGAGGCAGCTATTACAGTAATTTTGGTATGCTAATGCAAAAGTGTTTGTCCCTGACTCCTTGTGTCATTGTTCTAATATGATACATTTACAAATACCCATTGATTTACACCAATTTTGAGGGTCTACTTCATTTCGACTGCTAAAATGTAAAGATCAGAGATACATTTTGTGACAAATGCTGACGCTATTAAAGGAATGCAATTATTGGTGCACTAAAAGGGTTACTATGCCATACACACAATCCCACTGTAGTGTGTTGTACAGCGGGGACTGTACTGTGGGGGAGGGGGATGTCTAGGGTGCAATAGAGGGGAGCTGGGAAGAGGCTGGAGGGCTTGGAATCCGCCTCTGTTGCCACGGCAGCTGTGCCAATCTCCAAGTACGCCTACAGTTTGAAGAGGATACCTGAGCTCAGAGCCCCTGCATAATGAGAAGCAGTGAAACTCTAAACTCTGACAGCTAATGCTTTCACCCCTCCTGTGTCTACAGGGGCATGATAAACATGCGTCCCATCTCTGGGAGAGGGAGCAGCACTGGGATGACTGTTTTCATGGATTTGACAAGGACAGGGATTAGCAGACTTTGCTAAATCTTCCCTTGAGTGTCTGTCAAGCTCTGCTACTGCAAAAACTGCAAAAGCCGAACCCTTAGTATCTAGTGTGCAGTGTTCCTTTTCCCAAGTGCATCCATACTCATCCATTCAGCTACTCCCTTCTTTCTGCCCACAACAACTCCAACTGCTCTTAGCAGCAAATAGCACAAAGGACCAAAAATAGCCTAGCGTTTTCCAGAGCAGAGCAGCTCTCCTTAAGAAGAGGAAGCAATGCAACAACAAGAGGCTATGAGCAAAAAACAATGTTTCCAAGTCCACACACAACATCTATTCCTTTTGTTCTATCACTATAGTCGCCCCACCTGTGCCTAACCCATAATTCCCATTGCAAATTTGAGGATGCAAAATTATATATTTGATGCACTGCATTTCTGTTGGGACTGTATCTGACATGCCAGAAGTGTCCCAAAGGCATTTACCCTTAATCAATATGTTGCTGCTTATGAATATGTGTTGGTGTTGAGTGCATCAGAACACTCCGAGAAAAAAAAAGTGCAAATTTTGTACCTTTAGGGGTACAACAGCTTGTTACTGGGGCTGTGCCCTCAAAGGTTCACATTAGTACCTTAAGGGTACATATTACTACTCAAATGTATTAATATCAACCTTTCAGGCACACATAAGGTGCAAAGTTGTCGGTTTAAGGGAACTGACTCAGTGACAAGTTCCTGTACCCATAAAGGTACAATTTTTGCTGTGAACAATAAAGAAATGTGACTCACTGTTGTTGGATTTGAGGTCTCGATGGATGATTGGCACAAAGGTCTGGTTGTGCAAGTAGTCCATTCCCGTCGCAACCTGCACTGCCCAATTCACCAGTACCCGAGGAGGAACCTTCTTCCCAGCAAGTGCCCGGTTAAGTGCCCCGCCACGGGCATATTCCATAACCAGGCAAAGATTTGGCTCCCGCAGGCAAACACCTCGAAGAGCGATGATGTTGCGGTGTCGGAGCATCCAGAAGAGTCTGGCCTCCTGCCTCACATTCTCTGCCGTAGCACTGATGTCTTCATCTGGGTCCTGACGAGCTGCTTTAACAGCTACTTCCTCACCTCGCCACGCACCCTTGTACACCTTTCCAAAGCCTCCAGCACCAATCACCTCCTCCAAGCACAACTCTGAGAAATCAATCTCCAGTGGTGACTCCCCACCGACCAGACCTCCCGGAGGCAACGCTGGATAGCTGGTGTCCCGTCGGGTCACATAATTACTAGGGAATATGCCCACCTTGTCCTGGATCTTGCCAGTCCACCAACCCTCATCTCCAGACACTTTAGAGTCCTTGGAGAGCACCTCCAGTAGGTCGCCACGTCGCAAGGTCAGCTCCTCATCTGCTGTGGCCTCATAATCAAAGACAGCCGTCCAGTACATGTTACTGCCTTCATGATGATGAGAAAGATGGGAATCTGGGGAGCCCACTGAAGAGGAAAATGTAGAGGAGTTCTGGCTGCTGTTGTTCTGTGTCAGACAGGGTATTGAGTTTGCATTTGCTGGGAGGGCAGGGGGAACTGGGGGTCCACAGGAACCTCCCCTGCTGGTGCAAGGTAGCGGGGCAGCACTGCCTCCAGCTCCAGCTCCACTCTGCCTCATATATGGGTCCATCACTGAGTATTCAGGTCAGCGATGTGGTCTCAAAAGCTGGAGGAGGCCCTCTGTCAACTTGTGCACAATATCCATGCAGAGCCCATCTACTGAGTGCAGGCCTTCTTGATGAGGAACAGAATCAATAAGTAAAGCTTCTGTGGGGCTGCCTCAGCTCTGTCCTCACTGATTGCTTGGATTGTCCACAGCACACTTTGTTTGTGTCTTAACATTTATAGAGCCATTTTAGTCAGTCAATGTGTGCTTACAGCTCTAATATGACTAAGAAGATGACACTGAAAAGAGTTTTGCAGTGCGAACCAAGTTTTTCCTGGAGAAACCAAAGTCCTTGAGATTAGGTGAGAATTTCCAGATCATCAAGCCTTGAGAATCTTATCTTTTTGGTTGCTTGATGCAGCGTTGGACTTTCCCATTAGAAGAATCATTGAAGGCCTTGGAGACTGCTTGCTTGGTTTCTCTTTTTAACAGCAGAATCCACAAGTAAACAAATATTACTGAAGATAAAACAGTAACTAGATGGGTCTTCTGATAATTTGCCTTACATCACATAATCATGTTCTAGCTGGGGTTAAGTTCTACCTAAAAAGCTTGCACTGGAATGTTGTCTTAACCTCTAATCCATCCAAGTCTGATACATGTAAAACTCTCATATATGTAAACGTACATCGATGTTACTCTTTTTTTTTTTTTGCAATGGATGTTAAAGAATATTCATAGCCTTAAACGCATGCATGCGCAGACTTAAGGCATCCTCAGACATTCAGCTCTGATAGGCTCACAGATATGCACCAGCTCGCGATCTCAAAACCTCCACAATTATTTGCACATTCGCAATAGTTACTTCGAGTTTCTCTTGTGTTGTATAAATCCGGTACATCGCGAACTTTAAAGACAGTTCAAGGAAAGCGCGCGTCCATTTTAAGATGAGAATCACAACACAGAGCTGGCAGAGCCGTGGTTGTCATTAGCTTTAATCGTCATGCATAATGTACGCCACATATTTATCGATTTGCATTTCAAGAAAGGCATATATTCGGCGTATTAATATTTCATCGACAAGCGTTACAACAGCTACTAAACGTCTACTGTTTGCAATTTAATCCACGTCATAAACCAAATCGACTGTCGGTTCGTGTTATTTCTATGAAACGCATGTGCAAGTGCTTACTTCGATCATTTCGTCCTCATTTTCCATGATTGTCATTTGAACAGTAGACATTTTATTGTCATAGAGCAGTTGATTCATAAAGCTGGAATCAGTTGCGTAGTCTATATAAATAGCAATGTGACAAGCGAAACGTCAGCTTGGTCTTGGATTATTACGATACAGCGATATTGAGATATTTTCTATGAAGAATGAGAGTGATGCGGATGGCTTGCATTAAGGTGACTTTTATCCAGGTCGTCGCGATTAGGCAATGAAATTCTCCATAATGTTTTTATGTTGCCCAAATACAAGCCAAAACAAGATGTGTCCACCATCTTTACAATAATAATAATAATAACAACAACAATAATATCCACCTAATTCCTTTCTATATTCTGCAACAATATTTCTTATAATCCAGAGATCAGTGGTTAAGTATCCATGCGTTCCTCCTGCCAAAACAACCGGTTTTCTGAATTCTGATGTTTGTGGTTGCCTGGATCGTTCACCGTACATCACAACATCCACACAGCTCGTCGCATGGGCGTATCATAACGCTGAAATATTCCCATTTGTTGTAGCTACACATCATCGAATTCCACTGAAGGATGCTCTTGTAATCGTTCTCCCAGCTGGGTCAGTTGGTCGGCCTGTCGTTCATCTGAATCGAATCGGTTCTTCCCCTGTTTCCTTTCCCTATGAGAAAAGACGATCTATTCCATGGACCTGGCTGTCAACTCCTAAGGCTGACTTTGTATCCAAATACACCGGCTGGACTGGGGGTGGAAGACAGTAGGGCATTCTGGGAAATGAAGTTTATAGTGTATTCAAAGTGAATTTGACCTATTAGGATCAGTGTATATAAGATAACATAATATGATATAGCCTACCTACTAACTACAGTAACAACAGTAACAGTAACATTATAATATGTAATATTATTACAATTTAAAATAACATTTCTATATTAATGTTTTAAAATGTAATGGCAAAGTTTAATATTCATAAGCCATTATTCGGTCTGTAGTGTCACATAATCCTTCAGAAATCATTCTGATTTGGTGCTCAATTATCAATTATTATTGACACTCAATTATAAATCATGGTTCTTACTATTATCAGTGTTTTGATGTAGGCTACTGAAAATTGCTGCTTAATATTTTTGTGGACATCCTTTTCTATCAATCTTCTATCTGAAACATACTTACCCCAAACGTTTAATGGTAGTATATCACAGTTTCCACAAAAACACAATGTTTCTTGATCACCAAATCAGTATATATGAACGATTTCTAAACGATTGTGTGAAAATGAAGTCTGGAGTAATGGCTGCTGAAAAATCAGATCTGATATATATGTGTGTGTGTGTGTGTGTGTGTGTGTGTGTGTGTGTGTGTGTGTGTGTGTGTGTGTGTGTGTGTGTGTGTGTGTGTGTGTGTGTGTGTGTGTGTGTGTGTGTGTGTGTGTGTGTGTGTGTGTGTGTGTGTGTGTGTGTGTGTGTGTGTGTGTGTGTGTGTGTGTGTGTGTGTGTGTGTGTGTGTGTGTGTGTGTGTGTGTGTGTGTGTGTGTGTGTGTGTGTAAAGAGGTCTTCCAATTAATTATGCCAATAATATAAATACGTAATTGTACGTAATTAAGGGTGAAAAGTGAAAATATGAAATATATATATATATATATATATATATATATATATATATTAACTTATTTTAGTCTCAAGCAAGTAGCAAGTGATAATACCCAAGCTGGATCATACTTAAATTTAAATTAATTTTCACTTTTCACTTTTCACCCTTAATTACGTACAATTATGTATTCATATTACTGACCTCTTTTATTACCCTGAAACATAAAATGTTTTCATATGTGAAATGGTGGGTTTAATTCAGTCACTTGCTCTTCTTGAAACTCTTTACATTAGGATCTCAAATTTTTCATAAGGCAAAGATGTCACTTCATAATCGTTATTGTCATATAGTCAGGTAGATGGAAATGCAGTTCAGTGAAACAGCAGACCTGCACAACATATACAATATGGAGAACAGCTTTGCTCCATTATGTCATACTGCCCCCTGGTGAGATTCTGGATCACATCAATGGCAGTTTTTCTGTTTGGCTTCTTGTAGTCTTGCCATAAGGTCCTGTTCTCTAGTACACATTCTGTCTGCCATCCATACTAAGTTGATTTTGGTTGAGCTATCAGAATAGAGGAAAGAAGATCCCAGTCCCATTTACCTGCTCTTTCCACATCACTCTTTGGTCTTGTAATAACATATTAGAGTCTGTGGAGCAATTAAAGAGATTAATGGCGGATAATGACAATTTAGAGGATGCAGTAAGACAGTGATTTTAATGCAAAAAAGAGGATTTGATAAATGTTTTGTTCTGAAAAAGTGAACAAACTTGGTATGGACATTAACAATTTTCTAGCACTGTAATCTATACATTGGCTATTTTCCTATTTGAAATAATGTGATAGCCTGAGGACAAGATTTATTTATTTATTTTTGTATTCAAAGTTATGTACAGACATTTAAAACCTGTTGCATGTTGGTGAATAATGGCATCACATATTGCTCTCTTGGGTTTTCATGGACATGCAAATTCACTAGGCTGTTTTAAATATTTTTGCTTATGGAAATTCACACACATTTTTAAGGCTGGCACATTTAAATGTGAATCTCCATTTAAATGGTTTCCAATCATGCACTTTTTTTGTGTCAGAATCCACATTAGAACAGTTTTTGTTGTGAGACCTATGTTTGTTGAACTATTATCACATATAAAACTATCTATAGCACAAAAATAGCTCGTTTTAAAACTTGCTGCACACGTCTTTTTTTTTCATTGTTATTACATTTTTTGATTGATAACATTTACAACAGTGTAAGGACAAAGGCTAGGGTCAACCTAAACTATTGTACAAGTATTGTAACAAGTATTTGCATAAATGTTGGTAAAAATCTGTTGACAAATATTAATATATAAAAATAATTAAAAACAATTAAAAGTAGTCTACATAAATAAATATGCTTTACAAATATGTTGCAGGTGACAAACCAGAAGTTTTAAAGTAATGTAATAAAGGTCCAGTATTGTTGTAATAGAAAAGGGTGTCGTTAAGTCGTGTGTGTTATAACAAGAGTGACCACAAGGGAGTGCTATGCACTACTCAAAAAATCTGATCTGCCTGCTAAATCGTGCTATAGATAGACGTGGTATCTAATTTTGTGACATACTATAGAGCCCTCCAAAAAAGGATTTTCTTTGCAAGCGAAAAATGCTTCTGTTGCACGTACCACGAGTGCGCTGGTTGCAAAAATGCTTTGAAATACCCGAAAAAAATGTGACGCTGCAGTCTGACGTCATGCAATCGAATCAAAGCACATTAATTTCCAAGTGGAAATTGTGCTCATTGTGCTGTACAGAACAATGTACAGTACAGTCATTTACACATTTAAATGACCTTGTCTTCACTGCAGTAGTCAATGCGTTTGTTTTCCCATTTAATCACGGTGTGCGGTAGTATTAGCTAGCCTAACTGTTTTAATGCCAGTGGCTATTATAATCGTATATCGTATCCATATGGCAGATGGTTATGAAATATGGAAATGAAAAGGAAAATGTACAACATTGATTTGTTTTTGTTCTATTGTTCTAACAGAAATCTTACATTTAAAAAAATCTTACATTTTCATTCCAATTGAGAAGAAGTTTAAACCCCAATTTCACTAATTTCCAGACAGTCGTTTTATTTCGCCTCTCTATCAAAAACAGGAACGCCAGAAAGACTGTCGTTGTTTAATGAATGTGAATGAAAGTGATGACTTGTAGTTATTTTATTTGTATTTATACCGTTTGTAATGCTGTGAAATAAAATATAAACGACAGCATATCGCTCCCCCACGTTACATTGCGGACTTCACACTCTTTCATACATTACTACAGACACTTGTGAATGCATCCGTGCGCATGCGCAGTGCCGTGTATGTGTGTGAGCGAGTAGCACCGGGCGTCGTGGTTTCGGTTGGCTGGGAGGAAGAGGAATAACGAATGTGGGAGCCAAGAAGAATTCCTCGTTGGCGAACGGCGCTGGGGCGATTAGCGACAATATCCACAGGATTTCTGAAACGTTTTTACGGACTACACATGTCTCCTTGGGGAAAATTTAAGGAAGTTTTCCCCTCACGCGTTCCCGGGTCGGATAAGGTAAGAGACGTTTACCGGGGCTAATTAGTTTTTACGATCAGGTTTAACAATATCCACAGGATTTCTGAAACGTTTTTACGGACTACACATGTCTCCTTGGGGAAAATTTAAGGAAGTTTTCCCCCTCACGCGTTCCCGGGTCGGATAAGGTAAGAGACGTTTACCGGGGCTTATTAGTTTTTACGATCAGGTTTAAATCAACAATGCGAAGTCGCGAGTTAAACTCGGGAGCCTTTGGACAGCTTTCAGATTTAGTCATGTTTCTTTATAATGTACACGAGGATATAGTGGGAAAAGGTGGGTTTTATGAATCAAGTACTGGTCATTACGCAGCATTTGGGATCATTGTAATGTATTTTCATTAAGTGAAAAAACGTTAGCAAATATAAACGCTTTAGTCCTTCCTGATCAGTCAGCGCGCATGCGTCAGCACTATGTAGTTTTTACTCACCTGAACTAAGGCCATGCAACAATAGTGAGACTACAAGTTTCACACAATGGCGTCCTTGTTCTTACAGAAGGTAGTGTTTTTTGAAGCATCTTAAAATCATGTTTGTTGCTTGCTCGTAAAGTTTCAGCACATGGAGAATCCTTGGAGAACCCAGTGGAAATGCTGCTAGGCAAAAGTTTCACACAATGGCGTCCTTGTTCTTACAGAAGGTAGTGTTTTTTGAAGCATCTTAAAATCATGTTTGTTGTTGGTGAGGGAAGATTGTTGCTTGCTCGTAAAGTTTCAGCACATGGAGAATCCTTGGAGAACCCAGTGGAAATGCTGCAAGGCAGTCAGTCTACAAATGTCGCTTTGCGACATAAATTAGCTATTTGGTGTGAGTTTTAAGTTTTTTAAATACATCTGTGCATTATTTGGATATATAAATTATGTATTTTTGGTAATAGCAGAAGCCTTTTGAAATTTAGACTTTTGAAAGTTTGAAATTTATCTTCACAATCTTAATAACAGCAGGTGGCTTATGTGTTGTTATTGGATTAAAGGAATAGTTCACCCACATTATTATTCTGTAATCATTAATTTACTTTCTCATGTGTTTGCTCATGTGTTTTATTTTATTATTTTTACCATGTTCGATGCGTTAGACAATTCTGATAGCTTGTAAATGTAAATCAGCAAGATCTTTACAGCAAAGCAGACATAAAATGCATATGAACAACAGTTGTCTTTCTTTATCGCCCAATAAAATGTAAAAAGATAATATTTAAATGCTTAGTTTTATGATCAAAGTAGTTTTAACTGTGAAGGCCAAAACATGTAATGTCATGCAATACAATGACAACTGAGTATAAATAAACATTCGACAAAAGTTTTTGAATCATATTTGACACTTTTTAACGTGATTTTTTTCCCCCAAAAGAATTGCAAAAAAGTATAATCTTTCAATCAGACGACAAAAGGCATGTAGTAGATTGTGTACATTAGGTTTTTCAACAAATTTTAATCATGTTGATAATTTAAAAGCCTTAGAAATGTATGTATCAAATATGATTCAGTAGGCTTCATAGGGTTAATTTTGTATACAAGTCCCTAACATTTCTACT